ATGAGCATAAAATGCAGCATCAGCAACCGCTTGCGCCAAACATCACAATAAGCCCAATGATAATTATTTATGAGGTTGCCGAATCGGTTGAGGTTCCTTCGCCAAATAATTTATTTTCTCTTCGAGGCTTCAGAATTAGGCGCTTTTGTGATTCAAATGAATAGGAAAACACTTAGATCACGCGTGGCAAGAGTTTAAGGCTAAAATTAGCCCCTTTTAATGAGATTCGTACAAGTTGGATGCCTGTGCTATGATTTAAAAATACCTTTCATGGAATCTAAAACGTTCACTAAAAAAAATTCACCATTTCCATGCGGCAATTTGGTTTTTTTAATTTCTTGAATTTACAAACAAATGCGTGAGTATATGAACAGCACGACATTTTGACATTTACCATAAAAACAAAAACTTCATTGATTTTTAAGAAAAAATAAATAAAATTTTCCCCCGATTGCGACTCAGGCGGTAATTTCCATTAGATCACTGATATAATCAGCAAATTTAGGCAACATTGGGCTTTACCTCGAAAAAAAAATGGTTAGAAAGAAATGAATAATCACCCACGGGTTTCACACTAATTTCAAAGACATCCTTGAGATTTTTCTTTTAGAAAATGAGAAGATTGCTTCGTGTTCCACAGGAAGCCGACATGCGACTATTTCCTCGAACTAAAAAATACCGTGGCACGAGAATGTCATGAAGTGTCAGTCTTCGAGGCGGAACCTCGAACTTTTTTCTTCAGCTCCTCGGAAAAGGACGAGGGAGTTTGTTGAATTTTTACGAGCAACGATGAACAAGAATGCAATGAAGTCTTATTTTGACAAATACCGATGGAGTACCGTACTTCTTTTTACTCATCGACTGCACAGCACGGAGAAAAAAAAAAGTCTCCACCTAAAATAATTTTATATCCCGAATAAATGGGAAATACAGTAAAGTACATTGCATCTTCCGCCAATGCGGATGATGGGAATTAAATCCATTTCCCAATTAGAATATTCCATGAGAAAATCATTGACCAAGATTTTATCATTAAAAATCTTATTTTATTCACCGAGCATATTTTCGGAATGAATTACAGTATATATTATTCGTGAAATCAATTCCAATGATTGCGCAATAAGATTGTACTGCATCATTAAATTTCGTATTAATGGCGCTGGATAGGCTATAAAGCACGATTATTGATGTGAGCAATCATGAATCTGAGCTGATATTACTCATGAGGAATGAACACTTATTTTATGTCGTTTAAAAAACGTAACACAATTTTATATGATGACGACTCCTGACTTCTGCGGTTTCTACCCGAGTATTGATTCCAAAATTTTACTATTTGGCGGACATTTCCAGAGAAGTAATGTGCACTGTATTCATGCTCGTGCTATTGGTTCTGAAGCGAGATACTGCTCTGTATAATTTTAAAAATACACGCGCAAATAGATATTAAACTTTTGCATGTACTAAGGAAAATGGAAACGTCAGCTTGAGAAATTTCACAATTATGCATTTTGTACCGAGGGCGAAAATTCGGAACCTGATTATTTAGTGGAAGAAGCAGCCTGTCACTTTAACTCTTTTTAAATCTCGCTTATAGCCATGACTTGAAGAGATGCCAACTTTACAGTCATTCGAGCGTAACACAGTTCAAAAATTGGCGTGTTTCCTGAAATATTTAAGGCTAAACTGTACATGAACAACTGTTTGTGTGTGTGTGTGTGTGTGCTGAAAATGGTTATCCAGTTGTTTTTGTGTGTGTGTGGGCTGAAATGGACATTTTTAAATATAGCAAGTCTCCCATTTGAGAAATTTGGCCCCTTTTTAAACTCTCAAGACCAAGAAGGTAGGTAAAATTTTGCACGGTGGTGGTCGGGGACCACGAAAGTGAGGTGATAGGGAGTGACACCTAGTGACAATAACGTTTTTCTACTCTTACTGTTACAACTAAGTTTTTGTAGATGTCACTCCTCAATGCTCTGCGTACAAAATAGAAACAACACACACCGAATTTCCCAGACACATTTATGACTCTGCAAACGTGCAAAAATACTCATCAAAGCACATTGAACAACAACAATGGAAACGGATCCCGACAATATCTACAGCAGCTGCTTCTCAAAACCTCTTCAAAGACGTCTGTCTACATTCTATTCCAACAAAGCACCAAATTCTCTTCATAGTTTTTCGTTGCCCTCCCAAAAATATGTTTTTTCTTCACGCCAACAATACGACTCGGACAAATGATTCTAGAGCCAGATGACTAACATAACTCACAGGTGATGCATTGCCTAACGGTTTACAAAAAAATTCTCATCCATTGATTATACAGCAGTGTGATCTTTGTTTTACTGTACTGTACGTGAGTCTCATTTGTAGGTTCGTTGTCCATAGTTGCTTTGCTGCTGTTGGGGATAAGTCGGCTTTGCCTGCTGTTCGTATCCTGTTTGCTGTTGTTGTCCATATCCGGTTTGCTGTTGTTGTCCATATCTGGTTTGCTGTTGGCCGTAATTATTTTGCTGCTGCTGTCCATAACCTCCTTGTTGAGGTTGAGCATAACCCTGTTGTTGCTGCTGTTGTCCATACCCACCTTGTTGTTGTTGGCTGTAGGAATTCTGTTGCTGTCCGTAGCCACTATTTTTCTTGGGTTGGTCATATTTCGCTTCTCCTTGATACTGAACATCGGCTTTGTAGCCCCATTTGTCCACGACGTATTTCACGGTTTGGAATCGTCCGTCGGGCAAAAGAACCCCGTATTCGCCTCGAGTGTCTTCGCCGTCTCGAGCTTCGTTGTGGTAATAGTTGTTGTACGAGGGGTCGTCTTTCACTTGCCAATGAAATTGGTATTTGGCGGGATGCGTGGGCTGAAATGGGGAAGAAAAAGTGGGAGATTTGAATTTGCATGTTTTCTTTTCTCTTTTTCTTTCGAGAATACTGCGAACTGATCAAATTTATTCTTTTTTGAAAATCAAATTGGTATTCCTGTGATCCCTGCAGATTGAGGTTCGACTACGGGATCCCTGAAGAATTCAGAGAAGTCGGAATTCTTTTTCGCGGATTATCAATTTCAAAGTTGTTTCAGTACCTGGTTTTTGCAAGGGTATTTTATCGTTAGCAGCCTTTACTCGGCAAATTTTGGCAAAATTAAGCTATTCATTTTTTTTCAAATTTTTGTGATTTATCTTCCCCTTTCATAATAACCAGATATTGAAAAATTTTGATTCACATACCATTGTTAGATTGCTATCTTTTCTCTCTCTATCTCTCGTCATAATCAGTCAAGTAGTAACAATGAAATAAAGAAAAGTGAAAGGAAAAAGGCTTTGGAAATCCAGTTACAGCCAACAGTATCCTGCGAAAGTTTTCGGCTTCTTCTTACCAAGGGTATTAAAATCGCACTACTGTGCAAAGCCAATCTGCACCAGCAGAATAACTGCGAATATTCTGCTATTTCAAAGGAAATTCATCAGGATCGAAAATGTATCACCCGATCCAAATACATTTTGGCTCACAAACTTGATTGGTTCCTGAACAAAGTTTGTTAGCCAACTAGTTTGTAAGCTGGGTCACATTTTGCCTTAAGAAAATAAAGGAATAATTTTAATTGGTTCCAGAACCTTGAAAAAGTCTATTAATTTCAAGATAATTCATCTGGAAAAATATTTTCAGGCCTGAAATCCGTTAAATCTTCCCAAGACAATATATAAGAAACTCTCTACAGTAAAGAAATGTACAGCAATCCAGCATAGATGTGAAATTTTAAAGTGACTTTCTCTGGAGGTTTCTTCTTCAAAATTTTAAATGTAACACCACATACTCATTCACAGACCAATAACTTAGGATGGAACATTTTAATAGCTGTTCAATTTTAATCCCAATAGAATTAATAAAAGATTGCTGATCAAGAATTGGTCACTAAACTTTTGACACATTCTTAGATGAATTATTGAATAAATTTATATGTGAATCCCAAGATTCTGCTAAATACTTTTTTTTAGACCAACGAGCATTTGGAGAACTCAAAGGTTTGTAAGCCAAGTCATGGTTTGTTAGCTGGAGCAGCTGAGGCCAAAAAAAAAATTTTTTTTAGCTGAAAAGTTTGTAAGCTGGGGCATTTGTAAGCCAAGACCCCACTGATGTACTTTAGCGGAGATAAAACATTTATTTAAGATGACAAAAGTTTTATTGCATGACTATTGATAAAATTAGTCAGACTGTTAGAGGATCTATTTTTCACAAATCCGAAATTCCACGTATATGTAAAGTATATGAATAACTGTGAGCGCATTCGACGGAATCTTCTATGGGATCCATCCAACAGGGGCAGAATCAGGTTTATGGTACCTGCCTTAAAATTGCAATATTGTTTAACATTAAATTTAAACACATTGTCTTGAAGCTATAGCATACTGAAGTTGCGGAAATGCATCTGAAAATATTCGAGGATGTCCCTGATGTAATCCTTATTGGCACTTTTCCAAAAAATAACGTACTGTACCTCTTCATACTTGGCAGCCTGTTGATATTGTGGTTGTTGCTGTTGTTGTTGTTGTGCAGGATATGGTCTTTGAGCCTGTTGTGGTACTTCGTATGTATTCTGCTGCTGAGGGACCTGGTACACTGGCTGAGCTACTTGGTATTGCTGCTGCGGTTGCTGATACTGTTGCTGAGGTTGCGGCTCTCCGTATTGCGCTGACGCTGCTGCGAGTCCCAAAATAGCCAAGAACAACGGGGCTGCTTTCTGTTGTTCAGAATTTCCGAGAAATTAACACGTACTTGTATTTTAGAGGTAAAAATAAAAATATAAAATTTGAATATAACAAAATTTTCAGTTGAATGAAGCGAAGTAGACTGTAGCAGGAGAATTATCACAGAAGCTCACCTTGCATGACTTGAACATGATGATGACACTGTCAAACGCGTGTTCACTATTCGAATAAGTTACCTGTGATGATTGAATTGCAAAAAAATTAACATTAATCATACCTTCACATTGCCATTTTACACCCTTGCTGCACCCTTGCACACTTCAGAGTGCCGAAGAAAATAAATAATAAAACGAAAAACGGACCCTGATGATATTAGACATAAGAAAGTCGAACTTCGATCAAAATTAAAAGTAAAATAAATTTGAGAATATTCTGGAAATTTTTATCAACGTTCACAGGGGTCGCATTTTCAAAAGAAAGAAAGGATGATTGTCTTTTCAATTGAAAAAGTTTTTGAGTTTTTTCGTAGTCTGATTTCCTAGTTGATATTGTCGACGAAGTTATGAAGAAAATATAATCGTGATAACTTGCTGAATGAGAGCTAACCTATTTGACAAATGGAATGATTTGTGTTTTCATTGAGATAATTTCTCCACGGAGGTCATGAGGCTATTCCTTTTTTTGTATAGTTATCGAGACGTATTTGTCAGCTTAAATAAAAATTTACAGAAGAAATATGGCCAAATTAAGGAAGTATGCAGTAATTTAGTACATACTTTTCAGCCGCCAACAATAAATTCTGACTGATGAAACCTAACATATATTAAAACTGCTTTGAAGATGGGCTCATAAGTAAATTCTACATAAACGAATTCTGAGTTCAGTGAAATCAGAGATTTGCGTGAAACAGTTTGTTTTGTACGGTAAAACCTCAATTTTGATCACCAGGCTTAAAATGCTATTTTTGTCCAAGGCTGAAACTCGACTTATTTACTTTCAAATCTTTCATTTTTATTAAAATCGAATTTGATTTCAGCTCTAAAAAGGATTTTCTATGCACTTATGATCAACATGCATGGAAGGATTCAGTAATTTCACAGACACGAAAAAAAGTATGATCTCACGAGAAAAGGAAGAAAAGAGTAACCAGACATACTATGGGATATTTCAAAGAAAAATTCATCGGAGATTCTCAAAAACTTGATGCTCTTCAAGATTTGTGTCAGTCATCGAATTTCATACTGCGAACTTCATCGATTATTGAACGAATATGAATTTTTCCGCCAAATTTCAAAGCAATTTACAGTATTCAGCACTCACTTTTATCGCGTAAAATTTCTTTACAATAAAAAATTCCGCGACTTTTTACTCATGCCTCTGCTGTAACCAGAATTATCTCCTAAATACTTAAAATAAAGGTACAAGCGTACAACAGATAAAAGGTAACAAACAAAGATTTTTTCAATTGAATGTAAGGGGTATTTTGCTTTAACAAATGCGTTGGTCAGAATAATTAAAATTCATTAAGGATCATATGTTCTCAAAACAAAGACTAAGGTACTATGCATAGAACACGCCCTGAAGGTACTGTACTGCGGAAACGTACGTTAGAGAAGATTAAAAAAAAAGTTTATGGAGTATTTTTTGTCGGGTCAATCGATGAAATTGTTGGGTATATTTTTCGATTCTTCAGCAACCTAATTTTTCACATTAAGTCAACCATGAACCGAATATACTGCATTTCTAAGTTTTTAAAAATCACCAATTAAGAGGAATTTGAAAATTCGGTGCAAAGAAGCAGAGCGGATTGGATGACAGTTGAGATGAGAAGGCTGCTGTGAAAGCGAAAAAAGGGGCGCGAGGACGAGTGGAGGTGATCTTGAAAAAAAACGGGAGAGCACTGAGCCGTGTGACATGCTCATGCAAAGCATTAATTACCACCGCGTGGAAGGAGATGAAGAATCATTAAAACAAAAAGAAAGCATTGATGACGAGGAGCGAGAAGAAAATCGGACAAGAGGGACGATGACGAGTTGGGTGTTGCATATATCCAGACCTCGTCTGCTAAAAATTTGGCGTGTGACGAACACCGCATCTTTCCGCTTACTCGAGTTATTCTCAGATATTCATTTTTAATTTTAGAATTTAGGATCAATAAAAATTGAAATTATTCAGACAATTCTGAGAGGCGTCTTCGATTTGGAAGAATTCCGTGTTTCCATTGAACAAATGGCTTCTTTTCTCACCATCACATCATAGACCACTTAATTTTTAAGCCAATATAAATGCATTGAAGTGTAATTATTTGTAAAAAAAAAAATGCAGCAATTTTTTAACTACAAGCTCAGATGAACTCTGCCTGGACAAACTACAGCCACATTTTGTTTTGTCCGAAATTATTTCTAAGCTCTCTACATACACATTTTCTCATTATCAAGTCCCTACAAAGTTCCTTTCTTGTTATCCCCATTCAGCGATTCAGTGCTAAGCTGCTAATATGGATCGAAATGATTTCTGCGAAGCGATGCCTTTCTGTGTGAATAAAATCTTCAACGAAAATTAAATGAGCGTTTCCTTCATGTTATAAAAAAAAATCGTCGTATGCTGAATTCCTTCACGCCCTTGCGGTTTTTGTTTCATCTAAACTGTTTCATATCCTATGAAAATTTTATTACGGAAACTAATTCGAATGGGAAATGAAATTATCCATCTCTACGAGCCATAAACATGGAACACCTTGAAATGATTTTCCATCAACTATTTAAAAATTTTTATTTTCAGTGAATATCCTCGAAGAAAAAAAGTTAAAAAAAAAAGAATTTGATGAAGTTATTAATATGCTCAAGGATCCCTCCTTTGAATATTCTAGATAATATCACGAATTCTGCTGAATAGTTTAAACCTACCACAGCAAATCCCATATCGTGTATGAAAGACAGAAGTGTAAGAAAGACCTTTTGCATGCCTCGGAAAGCAGAAGATTAAATTTTCGCCAATGGAAACTTGCCGCTTGAAGAAAAAGCAAAAAACTTGGCCTCGGTCGTCGAAATGCTTGAATTTTCGTCGCAATCAACACATCACGGGGCTTTCATAAAACCAGTATAAGCCACCTTCTCCTGACCTTGGAGATCTGATAAGAGAACTTTATTAAGAAAATAAAAATAAACTGCCCCAGAATGTAAGATACATACTTAACTGTTCCGTCACGGGAAGCAACAGACGTTTTGATGATGACGTGCGAGTGACATAATCCTCGACCGCGCGTCGCACTGTCGCCTTCGCGCTCCGCAGTGATTTCCGCGGTTTTTCTCTCACCACGGCCTCGAGGGCTCTTTACAATCTGTGGTTTCTTGCTCTCTGTTTAGAGAGACCGACGAATATCAGAGGCAAGAACATGGGTATTAGCACTATTCAATTCTTCATCAGTACCGTTTTTTTTTTCAAGATTCGCGAATACAGTATAGTGTCTGGTTTCCGCGTGCAGCTCAGCAAGAAAAAAAATTATTAAAAGCAGTTGCTTTTTTTTTTGCACTGACGACGCAAATTTCTCAGGCCTCTTGAATCAGTAATGGAAGCATTATACAAGTACAGTTAGACCCCCACATGCGGAAACCTTAATTGACATGCGGCCAATTCAACATAGGGACATTTTTTCCGATAAAAAAGGCATAAAAAAGGTTCAAAAGGCGGACACTGACTCAACATGAGGACATTGCAGGATAAAATTGCCAATAAGTTTCAGAAAAAGTGAATCTTATATCAGACTGAATTGTAAGAAACAACAAGGTATTTCCAACCTTCAGAGTTAGGCCAGAAAAATTCTTTGGTATTTTCTCCACCATTTTCCCATCCATTCAGCTAATTTGAAAAAATTACCTTCAGCACAGAGGGACTTATTCCTTCTCTCTTTGTGACTTGAATGTTATTTTTACAGATGTAAACATTTGAATGTACTTTACAGAGGCAAAGTATTCAATGCCCCAAATGTTCTGATTGAGTTGAAAGATATTTACTGAATCAATTTCAATTGGCAGACAAATTTTTTAATGTAATTAGGATGAATACTTCTCCCATAAAAGACCAATTAAAAATTATATAATGTAAGTCTATGGGAAAATGAGACTTAACTTAGAGACATTTTGACTTAGGGACACTCTTGATGCACCAATTATGTCCACATCTAAGGGTCTACTGCATAAATAGTTTTGGTTTTTTCTTTCTCTAAAAGTCAACATTGTTGCTTATTCATGCCATAAAATGCCTCTTGAAAACAGAATGATGATTTATACTTCCATATAGAGGGTACCCAACCAAAAGCCCCCCCTGCCAAAAGCCCCCCCTAGGTCAAAAGCCCCCCCGGAAAGCCCCCCCTGCCTAAAGCCCCCCTAGGTCAAAAGCCCCCCCTGCCAAAAGCCCCCCCTCACTTTTTTTTATTCTGCTTTCTGCTTTAAACTGAATAAATAATTCTTAGCGGAAAATTTTAGAATCAGCAATGATCGCATCACCAAAGGATGACGGAAATGCAGTATAGGAATGTTGAAAAAGTGTGCGGAATTTGGCGACATCGTAGGTGGTACACTATTTGGTGATGTTGGTCAGCATCAATGGAGAAGTAGATTCACTCCTCTGGTTCCTTCCATCCTTTAACTGTCATTTCAGTCATGATCTCAAATTTGGCTGCGGACTTCAGTTGGATGCAATTGATTGACGAAGAAAGAAAAAGATCAGAATTACTTCTTGAAAAGTGATGGTTCCTCCATTCTCTACAGGTTTTTTACCATTGATGAAGACACTCTTCTGTAACCTTGATGGAATCCTTAAATTCATCTTGAATGATTGCTACTGGGTGGCAGTTTGAACTTTTGAATAACCCTTTGTATGGTAGAAAAGCAGTGATGGGTCACGAATTTATCCTACTAAATCCATGTTGTACATATTTGAGTCATTATCTATGGAGAGGCATATGTAGATTCCATTCACTTTTTTTTTTTAATCAGATGCAAGTTTCTTCTCAATCACGAGGTATACTTATTCATTCTTGACTATCACTGATGAACATTTCATCAGTGATAGTCAATGAACGTTGTTGAAAGAGGAAAAAAAACTGAAAACCGGAATTTTTGAAAGATCTTTGCAATCTTTCTTCTGAATCCAGTACCTTTTTTGTGTTATTTCTTATTGATTCCTCGGGAAATTACCCTGCTCACATGGTTATAAAAGTCTCAATTATATAGTCAT